AATTGTTCATGAAATTCCGAGAACTTTCTTTCCAATCAGATATAATATTCATGTTTACCACCAAATCAAGATTATAGTATATGTATGTAGATGATCCTTCTTTGGGCATATTATATTGCTGAGAAAGAGGAAATTGAGTTTGATTCATTAAGAAGCGATTGCCTGCAGGCATTTTCTATCAAATCAATACAATTCTTCAATGTAAGTTCATTTCCTATACCCAGGAATGTTAAGTAGCAATGTGTGATTCCAATTTGCACCTCCCAAATAACGCACCATTCTAGCAAAAACATTAGAAATATTGATGATCGCATTTTGCATCAATGTGTCAAACGTCAACGACGCTCGAATACTGAAAAATAACATTCCATTGGAGTAGCAGATCGTTATATAGATGATTTCATGTGTTACAATAATGCTTCAGGACTGATGAACGTAAGTCTTAAGTAGCTGCAATGTTGATGGAGAACGTGATCTCACTGGCACCTAATCTGAATTGATATTGACATTTTCACCTGGAAAAGCACCGTCTGGGCTCTCTTCAAGACTTCTTTTCTCCTGAAAGGAACGTGATGCAACCGTTGTGGTCCTCTTCCCTCGCCTTCCTGGCCGTCCAGTCCCTTTTGCCCTCCCAGTTCCTCTCGGCCTCCTCTGACGTTCTGTGAAATGATGAAGATTTACTATAACAGCTTCGTCGAAATATCGGCATATCACGATATTGATTTTCCATCATTATTACCCTCATTAGCACATAAGGCAGATTTCACTTGTGAAAAATGGATACATAGCAGCATCACTTTAATCCACTACGAGCAAACACTCTTAAATTATTCATGTTTACCACCAAATCAAGATTATAGTATATGTATGTAGATGGTCCTTTTTTGGGCATATAATATTGCTGAGAGAGAGGAAATTGAGTTTGATTCAGTAAGAGGCGATTGCCTGTAGCCATTTTCTATCAAATCAATACAATTCTTCAATGTAAGTTCATTTCCTATACCCAGAAATGTTAAGTAGCAATGTGTGATTCCAATTTGCACCTCCCAAATAACGCAACATTCTAGCAAAATCATTAGAAATATTGATGATCGCATTTTGCATCAATGTGTCAAACGTCAACGACGCTCGAATGCTGAAAAGTAACATTGCATTGAAGTAGCAGATCGTTATGTAGATGATTTCATGTGTTACAATAATGCTTCAAGGTTGATGAACGTAAGTCTTAAGTAGCTGCAATGTTGATGGAGAACATGATCTCACTGGCACCTAATCTGAATTGATATTGACATTTTCACCTGGAAAAGCACCGTCTGGGCTCTCTTCAAGACTTCTTTTCTCCTGAAAGGAACGTGATGCAACCGTTGTGGTCCTCTTCCCTCGCCTTCCTGGCCTTCTNTGATGAACATAAGTCTTAAGTAGCTGCAATGTTGATGGAGAACATGATCTCACTGGCACCTAATCTGAATTGATATTGACATTTTCACCTGGAAAAGCACCGTCTGGGCTCTCTTCAAGACTTCTTTTCTCCTGAAAGGAACGTGATGCAACCGTTGTGGTCCTCTTCCCTCGCCTTCCTGGCCTTCTACTCCCATTTGGCCTTCCAGTCCCTTTTGGCCTCCCAGTTCCTCTCGGCCTCCTCTGACGTTATTCTGTGAAATGATGAAGATTCACCATACCAGCTTCGTCGAAATATCGGCATATCACGATATTGATTTTCCATCCTTATTACCCTCATATGCACGCAAGCCAGATTTCACATGTGGAAAGTAATACATAGCAGCATCACTTTAACACCGCTCCATTACGAGCAAACACACTTAAAATATTCATGTTTACCACTGAGGCATGATTAAAGTATATGTATATGGATGGTTCTTTAAGCATTTGAAAAGTTGTCCTCCGGGACAATTTTTCAATTCTTTAAAACTTTCACGTCCATATTGTGACGACGCTTTTACTACGAGTCAAAAATGCTGTTAATAAAGTATAGCCACCACTTCATTACTGCCATATTCAACCTCCTGAGCATTACACTCCATCAATGTTGACACAACGTCTCTGCTGAATAAGATGTGAGTAACCAACGCACCAAGTTGCGGCCGCTCCAGTTCAGTCAGCTCTTCCAGGAATCTGGCTTCGGGACTTTCAACCTCGAAGTCCACCAGCTCGAGGCCATCTGGGCTCTCTTCAAGACTTCTTTTCTCCTGAAAGGAAGGTGAATTAATATCACTTGTCTAAAAATACGGTTCCAAGGGACTTCCTGTTGGATGGGTTACCTCGGCGGTGGCGAGAACCAAGAGAGACACCAGGAGTCCAACGTAAACGATCTTCATGATGAACGTTGGGTGTGGAGAATCCTCTCGGTGGATATAGTTTGAGATTTTTTGTGCCGCTTTATATACGTTTCCAGTTCCTGGTTCATGTCAAGTACGTCACAGCTCTCCACGTAAGCATTATTTTAATTGGTAATATTTTTCCTTTTGCACCTGCGTCATTCTGGCAGTCCTGGATCTGGCAGAAATGTGCACACGCATATTTTGCAAAGGGAGAGAGATCTCCAGGATATTGACCTCCAGGATATTGCAAGCAACATCCTGGAGTATTTTCAATGTATACTGCATAATTTCTTTGGAAAACTTCATGATTGCAGTCTTCCACACTCCAATTCAGACTTGTTTTAAAATTTGAGGAATGAGAACTGATTCATATCGCTTTTGCTTTTGACGGAAGATATGTAAGAAGTGTTCATAGTTTTGTTTTTGGAACTTTTTCTCCTATCCTACACCTTTTCCCGCTAGATTTATAAGATTCTTGATATGTTGATGGATTTGAGATTCTCTATTTGTGATCGTGAATGGCCATTTCAGAAACTGAGCGTTTCTTTGTTCCTGTGACATGAAACAATGAAAAATCTTCGTCATAAGAACTTTAAGTTATTCATTCGAACGAAACCTCTTGAATTTTTATTTGGAATAAGTCTTCTCCTTCCTTTTTGTTTATCTAATGAGCTTATGGATTTCACTCGTACTACGGAATCACGAATTTGGTTTTTTCGATACCGAAGTAGAGCTATCTTCTCCTCCCTAGACCCTGCTTATGATCCTTCATTTCGAAATGTGCTGTATAATTCAAATGATAATATTTAAGTTACCCGTACTAGTCGTATGCATTGGGTTGACATAAACATGCATGGAATTATTGAGTCTTTCTCAATTACCCGAAGTACAGTATATTCCTTGCGTAACTCGAAATTCAAATTAATGACGAAGATATTCATGAATTTCTTCGCGAAAAAATGAGTTGAACATCAGTAAGCAAGACTTGGTTGCCCTTCGTGCCTCATTTCCTCAACCTGAACATAGGTGAAAGTAGGCCTACGTCATTGGAAGTCCTGGAATGATGCATTGGATTGCAGCTGGTCTGGTTTCCCCGGATCTGCGATGCAGCGAAAGTTCGCGTGGAATGCAATTACCTGTAGGTTTTACTGGTATCTTGGTTCATAGAGGCCTGGATTCGATATTGGACTCGGGTATCGTGATCCTTATAGATAATCTCGTGGGATTGATCTGCTAGAATTAAAAGTAAAAAATTTTATTGAAAAGCAAGTGCGAAAATTATTTTCAAGGTGTAATTTTACTCCCAGACCTCCCATCTTAAATTGGCTTTCAGAACCAATGCAACAGTACTGTGAAGAAAACAGTTAATATCTTGGAATATGAAAAGTTATGTACTCAAGATGCGAATTGGTATTAAAATATTATCAGCACTCATTTACCAGATAGTCCTACGATTTCACCTGCCCGCTAATCTCATGGAGATTCGATTGCTAGCAAGACTTCTTTGACGGTGAATACGATTAGCACACTTGATGTGGAATATTCCACCTGGAAACAGGACCTTCGGGCATTGTATGGCTCAGAAAAGGATGCTGAGGAAGCCTTTTCCTCCCCATAATCCCTCCTCAATATCAATCTTTTTGGGTAGTCATTTCCAAGTCTCGTTCGTTTTCCGTGGGATTCGCCGTTCATTGAACTTGAAGTTGGAGGAATAGTAGGAAAGGAAGAGATCTTTTCAGATTGAAATGCTTTTTATTTCCATTTCTGCTGTTTGATAGGCATCACTCCAGTTCAACATCACTAGCGCCCTGATGCACCTGTTGTTGTGGTTTTCCTTGCCCATTTATCTTCTGGCCTTCCAGTCTCTATGGATCTAGGCGTTCCCGTCCATTTTGACTTTCGAGCCCCTCTTGATCTGTGGGTTTCTGTCCATTGTGGCCTTCCAGTTCCTATCGATCTTGGGGTTCCAGTCCCTCTTGTCCTTCCCGTCGACCTCGCCCCAGTAGATCTCTGCCTCATCTGCCTCACTTCTGCAAAATAACTATATTACTTCGCAATCTATTTGATTGATAATTCCCTTCCCTTTCCTGTTCGTGGAACAAGTAGTAGTGCATTATTAGAATCTAGACCCTGATATACGTTCCCGCCGCGTTTCTAATTCCGACCAAGAGGATCGGCACTTGCTCAGACCGATTTTTCTGGGTCGGCTATATCGATCTCTTATCGCCCTTGTAATCCGGTATTTCAAGATTCATCATCTTTACCTCTCTTCTTTCCGGTATTCTTCAGTGTTTCATTATGCGGTATTAGAGATGTAGATATTTGGATATTGTTCACGGAAAGTAGTTTTTTTTTATTTCCGAAAGTTGCCGTCAAAACCTATCTACCGCTCTCGTTTGAATGAGGGTGTATTTTCTCTGGTTTCCTGTTCCTTTGTCATCTTGTAAGAAAGGGATGAAAGAATTAATTATTGTATCTTGCTTTTCTTACGGTAGAGTTCCATCATTTCCTTTCCGTGAGTGATCTGGCATGCAACAGTCGGAAAGAGATGAGTGATTTCACGAGTGACACTCATGACATCACCCAAGACATCATTGTATCGCCTGTTGGATTTTGAGAAAATCGAGAAAGCCATGAGCCGACACAGACCCCATGTCGATAGACCCTCACCAGACTCTCTGCGACCCTGCAAAAGTCGCAGAGAAAGTCTGGAGGTGGTCGCTGGCTCGGTGCTTTGAAAGAGCACGAATGAAATCATGACCCTCCCACCAGTCCCAAGAGACGTTCGTAAGATGAAGAAACCCTTTTCCCCTCTTCTAGACCACGAGCCGATCCCCAGTCGCAATTACTTCTATAGACGACTCCGACGCCTGGGAGATGCATTGAACCATGCCAGAATACTGCCAGAAGATTCTCGGCTTGATCGCAGGTGGAAACAATCCTCCCATTCGGCACAGCAACGCTGTATCAACCTTGAGTAAAGGTTGATTTTTCAACGTGACAATGTTGCCTCAACGTTGTACAAAAGTTGGCCTCGATGTTGAAACGAAACACAATTCAACATTGAAAATTTGTTGTGCAATTGTTGAATTGTCAACGTTTTTGGCATTTCAGTACCTCCTCCATTTCCTGGGTCTGAACGAGCACTAATATCTATTATGCAACGAGAATGCATTCATACTACTAGGTAGATTGATGATAGTACTCCATTAAGTACTGTCTTTCCACAAAGGGATCCCTCCGGAGTGTCAAGGAGGGTGTGCACCATCACACAGGTAGGTGTGATGGTAGCATAGAATAGATAGTACGACTAGAAGTGACACTCCGAGGAGTTGGGGTGGGGGGGGGGGGGGGGGGGCGAAATATTACNACATTACCTGCAAAAATTTCATGTAAAAGACTGTAAATTTCCAGTCGATAACTCATATGGTATAAAAACTTATACACTGTCTGCAGGTGTGTAAAGTTCGGTACTTTTGGGGAAGGGGGGAGGGGGGGGCCACCCGCTATAGTACCACGCAGTAGACCCTACACACATCGATCAACAACTCGGGGATTCCAGAGAAAGGGATCCCTCAACTGAAACGGGTGTCTTGTCTCGTCCGCTACTCGGTCATAGAGGAGTTGAAGTGCGCACGCTAGGTGGAGGATCGACAGTGACATCTATATTGCGACCCTGTCAATGGATGGGATTCGAGCGGAGTGGAGTCTCTAGGTATACTCTCTACTCTATGATGATAGTACTTTATTGAGTACCAGCTTCCTGAAGGAGACCCAATGAGATTGTATTTCCTTTACTGGATCAGAATTCGAGTTCAGTAGTCAAGTGACACAACTCTTCCTGTCCATTAGAGGAAATACTTGTCTTGCATGACGCCCAGTTCTATCTTTGAGTAGAAAACGAGTCTAAAACGCATCCTGGCAAATATAATTCCACATTCCATGACTTGATGGAAGATTCAGGAGCCTGAGGTCGTAAACGTGCATAAAAATGTAGAGACTTAGGAAAATTCAACTTGTCTCCTCGGACCTCCTGGCCTGTAGTAATTGGAGTCTCCTTCTGCTGGATGACCTCCTTAAACGGGTCTATCTAGGAATTCCAAAGCCTTCCCTAACGTTGGACGTGGGAAGAGATCGGGCACTGTATGAAAAAATACAGGGGCACCAGGGTGAGAATTTCTAAATCGTCGCTCAGGGGCCATCTCGCGCCGATCGGTAGAACCTATTTCAATGCGGATGCCTGAACCATACGTCAACATTTCAACCTTTTTATTAATGTTGGCAACGTTGTTTTGCCGAATGGGCTTCTTCCCCCTACACTAAATTGTCCCTCTAATCATCCAGTGTCGCAGTCGTCAGGGAGGGTAAGCTTTTGCATCCTTTTTTAAAGTCCGTTTTGGTGTACCCATTACTATAGTAAATTCATCAGGGGAAGGGTGGACAAGTTGAGATGTTTCTTAACTAGTCCACCCTTTTCATTAAAAAATTGAGTACCTTGTCATTGCTTTTTGTTCCCCGAGTTGTTGATCGATGTGTGTAGGGTCTACTGCGTGGTACTATAGCGGGTGGCCCCCCCCTCCCCCCTTCCCCAAAAGTACCGAACTTTACACACCTGCAGACAGTGTATAAGTTTTTATACCATATGAGTTATCGACTGGAAATTTACAGTCTTTTACATGAAATTTTTGCAGGTAATGTAACAATTGAATTTCAATTGGTTTACAACCAATTGAAATTGGTTGTAAACCTCGTGAGTAACAAATTTTCTCGCGCGCGATGTCAAAAGAGCGAGTGTGCAAAGAAACGCGCCTGAACTCAAGGAAAGAACTGCTTCATGTGTCCTTAGATCGCGGGCCGAAGCAACACGCCATCATACGCACTGACACACTTGCTCATTGTAGGGAATTGACTTGTATGGAAAGAACTCTTACTCGTGTTCAGAGCAAGGAATTTCGTCGAAATTTTCCTAAAGCCACCTAACTTTATTGGGTATGACACACTGAAAATTTCAAGACGATGCTTAGCAAAGTGTCCCGATGCAAGCCCCACGAAGTTCGGAACGTTTTTTCTTTGGCCACCTGGTATTATCCAGTCCATGAAATCGCTTCGGATGTTCGGTGTTAGGTCTGCGTGGGATGTTTTTATTATTTCACTCATTC